AGGGCACAGCCGGGACATATAGAGCCTATAGGGGCAGAGAGAGCCCAGCTGGGGCATATAGAGGCATACGGACCTACAGGAGCACATAAAGCCTATTGTAGAGGGCAGAACCAGCCCATCAGGTCATATAGAGCCTACACCGGGGCAGACGCAGCCTGTCTGAGTTATACAGAGGCTATAAGCGGGGCAGAACCAGCCCGTTGGGACCATATAGAGCCTACATGGGGCCGACCCAGCCTGCTCGGGGTAGATAGAGCTTATCTGGGGCAGATGCAGTCTGTTCAGGGCTGATAGAGTCCATATGGGGCTGATAGAGCCTGTATGGGGCTGATAGAGCCTGTACGGGGCTGATAGCCTGTCCGGGCCATATAGATCCTATACGGGGCAGGCAGACACCTTATGGGGCAGGCAGAGCCCATGTGGGCTATATAGAGCCTATGTGGGGCAGATGTGGGGTCAGGCAGAGCCCGTATGAGCCGTATAGAGCCTATATGGTGCAGGCAGAGCCCGTGTGGGCTATATAGAGCCTGTATGGGGCAGGCAGAGCTTCTTATGGGCCATATAGAGCCTATATGGGGCAGATAGAGCCCCTACGGTGCAGGCAGAGCCCCTATGGGCCATATAGAGCCTGTATGGGCCATATAGAGCCTGTATGGGGCAGGCAGGGGGATGCTGAGTCACCCCTTGCCCAAATTGCTGACTCATCACCACGGGACCGGATCCATGTCCGCTGCCCCCCCCAAGGTGCTCCCCACCCAAAGGTTTGGGGGACACCCCCCCCACCCCGCACCCGCTGGAGGGGACCCAGGCATCCAGGCACTGTCACCCCGCAGGGTATGCAGTGACAGTGCTGGTGCGGGATCGGGCCCATCTGCCGGCGCAGCATCAGCCGGCTCGCGTGGTAATGGGGGACGTGCGGGACCCCGCGGCCGGTGCCGTCAAGGGACGGGACGCCGTCATCATCCTCCTGGGGACAAGGGACGACCTGGGTACGGTGCCACCGGGGGACCCCAACCCCCTGTTACCCAAGGGATCTGCACTCCAACACCCCATTGCACCCCATGACCCCTTTGGCCTGGGGACCTGCACCCTAGCACCCCGTATATTTGGGGGACCCCATTGCCCCAGGGGACCCTGCAGCCTGTCACACCATAATTTTGGGGGGACGCCATTGCCCTTGTGACCCCATCACCCAGAGGACCTGCACCCTGACACCCCATCACCCAGGGGACCCTGCACCCTGTGACATCCTAGTTTTGGGTGAACCCCATTGCCCTGGCACCCCTTTGTCCCAAGGGACCCTGCACCCTGTCACCTAATCATTTTGGGGGGACCCCATTGTCGGGGGACCCCATTGTCCTGTGACCCCACAGATTTGGGAGGAGACCCCATTGTCCTGTGATCCCAGTGGCCCCATTGTCCCAGGGGACCCTGCACCCTGTGACCCCTGTAATTTTAGGGAGACCCCCATTACACCCCCTGACCTCATCATCCTGGGGGACCCCACTGCCCTCTGACCCCATAGTTTTGGGGTCACCCCATTTCCCTGTGACCCCATTCGCTTGCAGTCAGGTACCTGACCCTCCCTATCACCCCCAAAACTTGGGGGGGGGCTGCACCATATCCTCCAAAAACATGGAGAGCTGCCCCATACCCTCCCCATCACCCCTAAAACTTGGGGGGTTGCTCCCTAACTCCCCTCTCCCCCCCCCAGGCCCCACCACGGTGATGTCTGAGGGTACCAAGAACATCGTGACGGCCATGAAAGCCCATGGCGTCCGTAAGGTGGTCGCCTGCCTCTCAGGTGGGTGTCCCCAACCTTCCCCCCCCAAAAAAAAGGGGGTCCCCTACTCTGACCCCCCCTTTCCCCCCTCCCCTTCCAGCTTTCCTGCTGTGGGACCTGCAGAAGGTGCCCCCCCGGCTGGTGCCGGTGACAGCGGGCCACATCCGCATGCACC